GCCAGTCTTCAGGATTTAGAACAAACCATTTCTACTGACAAGATCAAAAGCTTTGATGAGATCAACAAATGCGATGTACAGAGATTTCCTTTGTTTATAGCGCTTTTCTTATAACTGTCTCAAGGAGAATATCAGATCTGTCATGGACTTACCGGACCTGAAACTACATTGAGACTCAGGGTAGACTGTCCACGAGAGTCTGCAGTCTTAGCAGGGTAACTTTGGCGAACAGCTTCCCAATGATGCAAAGTAAGGCTTTATACCTCAATAGTTATTGCAGTTGCTCATATCACCTTTGTTTTGTACAGAGTGACTATGCTTGCATCCTGCATATATTGAGGAATTTCACCTTCTGTCCAACACATACATATTAATTCGTGCAGATGGAGGAGGACGAATTTCCTGCATTTAATATTTTCAGCCAGTATGCATTCCGCCCCTGGTGCTTTATCGTAAACAAGCTGATCAATGGCTTTTTCTACTTCATCTACAGTAGGGTCATGGTCAAGTGCTGTCAGGGTTGAGAGGTCTTCAAGTATGTTAAGAGCAGAGTCAGGGAAAGTGGAGTGAGTGAGTAATGTTCAACTCATCCATCCATCTGCTTATTGTGGTCATTAAGATGAATTCTCATTGAACCAATCATTTGAGATGCGATGCACGGTATCCCAAGAGTCCAAGGCAGTTGGATAGATGGCTCCTTTGAGCTGAACCCATTTCTCCTCAGTAGTATTACACAGCTTAAGAGATGGTAGAGCCCGGAGAGAGTTTTGATGAATTGAGATGATGTGTCTTCAGCTTTCAGTCATGTGGCATTTATTTGTAGTAAGGAGTGTTCTTGCTCTTGCACAATTTCCTGGGCTACAATTTGACCTTAGTGCATTCGGTATCACAGTCAGCACTCTGATAGGATAGCATGGTGATTACATCATGGAATTCTCGTGAGTGGGTAATAATCAGGTCAAGTTGATGCCAGTGTCCAGATCATGCGTGGTGCCAAGATACTTTTTGTTGAAGTTTCACATTGAAGAAATAAATTGTTATACATAGCTCATTGCATGAACGCAACTTGAGCAAACATCTGTTTTCATTCATTTTGCCAACACCATTGGTGCCCAAACAGTGAGGCCAGGCAGCGTGCTCAGCACCAACCCTTGCACTGAAGTCTCCAAGCAGGAGGATTCTTTTCATTAGGTGAAATATTACTGATTAAGGCACTAAGCTTGTCGTGAAAGTGGTCCTTTGATTTGAATGAAGCAGTGAGATTTGAAGCGTATGAACATAAGAGAGTGACAAGACCAGAGGGAGTAGTGAGTTGAAGCACCATTAATCTTTTGGGGCCTTTGTTTGGATGTTCTGTTGCAAACAGCCGTTTAGTTTTGACTGCAAAGCCAACACCATACTCTCTGATTTCTTTGGGCTGATTACCACACCAGAAAAAGGTGTAGTTCTTCTCTTTCATAGAGAAGATTCATATCTATCTTCCACCCGGTGAGGTCTGTATGATGTGGCTAGGCTATAGCTTTGTCAAAAAACATTTGGGCAGGTTGTCTTTTAATTGAGCCTTTTGGTTATATTGCTTTTTAAGGGGTCTAAATGTCTGAGTTCATAGCAGAGTTCGCATTAAAACATGGCAACAAAGCTGAGTTCTTATTCTTATTGCATGCCACAGCCTCCTGGAACTTCACTATAGCAATGGTAGGGACAGAGCTTGGATCATCCTGCTCCAAAAGTATGGGCCAAATTAATCTGAAAAAGAACTGTGGCAATGTGTGCATGAGACACTGACTGCACAGTTATTACTGTCCAGTCATTTAGTACTTGTTTAAATATATATAAATTATATAAATTATATATAATTTTATTTTAAAAGATATTTTGTCCTGATTGTGTGTGTTTGCATTGTACATGTACAATAATGCTTATCATACATGTACTATAAGCTTTTCACAAGGTGTGTGCTTTAAAATAGAACCCTGAATAAAATACAGCAAAACAACTGGCTGTGTCATTGTTTGCCTGTAGTTACATAAAATTTCAAGTGAAAGTCTTTGTGGTTTTCAGCTGCAATATGTAAAAAAACAAACAGGTATAGTTTTGGAGAAAAATAGACAAGTTGTTTTATTGACAAGAATAACTCAGAAGCATAAAAGAGAATCAAGGAAATATTTACACTTTTTAAATCAAAGTGGCCAACTCCAGGCTGGTGCCAGTGCCCACTTGGCTTTACCATACACACATCATTTGTTCCCTTTTCATAGTGTCATATAAATAACTAGTCTTATGATATCCTTCAAAGCTGTGGTTAGCATGGGCCCTCTGACTAACCAGGATGATGATGCAAGAGGCACAACACTGCTGTGCTTTTGGCAGATCCAGTCAGGAATATCTTGCATGTGTTTGTTGGGTCCACTGTTATTTGTGTCCTGTTAGATGCAGTTTTCAGCATAGTGTCACACTAGTTGCATAGTGTCACATCGGTAAGAGGCAGCACAGACAAAACTATCTCCTCCTTTTGTAATGATGTGCTGTACCTTATTATAGTGGCAAGCTAGTCCTTTTTGTCTGTGTCCTTTCCCATCTCAAGTTCTCCCAGAGTCATAGTGAGGACATTTGAGGAGAGAAAGGTTTGATCTGTAATAATGTAGCTGCCTTTTGCACCTGAGCCAGGTATAATGCCAGCAAAAGTGGAATTAAAACAACTCCATTTGGTGTTCCTCTGTTACTGCAACTCAATTAACTTAGGTATCACAATGTGTAATTTTTGTTTCACTTCCTTGCCAAAACTTACACTTCAAAGGACAGAGCTTAACAAAAGCAACTTAGTCATGGATTGGTTGCAGAGCAAACTGTCCTCATACTGCAGCTATTTTTTAATTAAAATCCTGTAGTATGGTATATATTGTAACCATGTTTATGTATTCAGGTTATTATCTGCTTCTCAAGTATGACTGAGTTGTGTTCACAAGTGTGTTGTTTCACAGCCCAACTGTGTCAGCACTTTTGTGCCTTTCCCATTGCAGAATTGTTTATACAATTGTGTGTTCTAGTAAAAACTGAACACTTCTCTCAAATGTATTGTCCTCAGAAGCTTTACACTTGTAGCAGTTCTGCAAAATTGATACAGAATTATACAATTCAGGTAGTGTGGAAGTTCTTAAATTAGTTTAAGAGTCTTCAAAAAGTTGTGTCATAGAGTTTCAAATAATGCAACTAGTTAAACTGCTGTAACTATGAATGTAAATTAGCCCCAACTGGCTCTAGGGTTTTCCATTAATGCCTCAAGAATCATATGTGCAGCTTTGAATGGCACTTGGCAAAACAACAAGCACAACCTTATGGATGATATTATCTTCTTATGAAGTAGATTGGGGTATACAGCCTGGTTGCAATGAACTTTTGCACCCTTTCTATGAAGGAGAGCTGTGAAGCAGTTCAGCTAATACCTTTTGGTTGAGCTGTTATATTTTGGTACCAAAACTGGAGCCACATTGCCCTTTAACTGAACTGGAGGTATGCAGGTGGTAGTAACAAATCCTGAAGCTAGAGAACATGGTGACATTGGAAGTGTCATCTTTCAAATGAGACATAAAACCAAGGGCCTCAACACCTGAGGACACCCAAGGATCTTGTGGTTCTTGTCACCAAGGTGTAGGGATGAGGAATTAAAACTTGAGTGTCCAGGCAGACTCAACTGGGGTGATTTATATTCTATTTTCCTAGGTTCTTTCTAGGCTATTTGTTAGATTTGTCTGTGGTGCACAGAACAACCAGGAATAAGTTTTATCTGCATGGCATCGCTGTAGAAGGGAAGGATGGTAGGAGTAATAACTTTCCACTCTTCAAAAAAGGGATGATGTGGAATGCAGAGTCTAAGTAACCTTCCTGCAGGCAGCAAGTGCCAGAGCTGCGAACAGACCTTAGAGTTTGTGCTTCTCAGCCCAAAGTCATAACCCCAAGGACCTTTATTTTTCTCTTTCCTCCTCAACAAGATCATCTTTCCTTCTGTTTTGCTAAATGATTAATATTGAACGGCTGCTCTTTCTCCTCACCCCTCTGTCATGCTCCCCAAAGGTGTGGCTTTATTTCAGCAATGTGTTGTTTTTCTCTCATCTACTTTCGGTCTGTTTTTAGGGCATTTTTGAAAAGCACAGTAAAAATGCTTTTCAGGTCTCAGGGTGCCATATTAATGCTGGTGGGGGGGAAGAAGGAGATGTCGTGTTCCTTGTTCTGTTAGTGCATTCCCCTCATCTGTCTGCACTGCCTGCTACACTGAAGGAGACACCCTTCAATCTGAAATGTAGTGTGAGGAATGTGCACTCAGTCAGTGTGCTGTGTAAGGAATTTAGAGCTGTATCCACAGCCCAATTGCTTCTTTGTTCCAGCTGTTTGATTGATATTTAAATAATGTATGGCAACATTTGAAAGTGTGATACTACTCGAACACCGGGCACAGCTTGGTTTTTTTATGTTCCCCTGGAAGGTATTTCATGAAGCATCCTGCACTAGACAGACCTTTGATTGTTGGCTCTTATCAAGGCAGGATGTCCAGGCCATTTGCAAAAATACAGAAGTGGAGTCCAGTGTGTTCTGATAACGGCCAATCAGTGCACAGGGAATGCTGGAGCTGTAATCTCTCTGCCCTCTAGGGGCAGCCCCTTCTCTGCGCTGCTCATTGGCATTCTTTTCTCCTTTCACGTATGTTTTTGACCAAGAAAACGCTTGACCAAAAACATTTTGGAGCTCACAACTCAGGGGAATTTCATTTAGTAAAACCTGAGGTAGTTTTGCTATAAAGACATTGCTAAGCCTTACAGGCTTACTCCTGGGCAGATGGGTCTGTAGTAGGGGGAAAGCATCTGTGCAGAAGGGGAGACCAAATCTATCCCACTTTCTCAAGAGCCCTGCCTCCACTTCCTGAGTCTCATTTGTCAGTAGTCCGAAATTACACATGCTCGCTCGCTCGCTCTCTCTTGCGCCCTCTCTCTCGCACACAACCGGCTCTCTGAATAGAAGCTCCATCCTTCTGGCTGGGAGAGAGGAGCTCCTTTTGTTATTCAGATCACACACTCCAGCCTGTGGCTGAGTGCAGCAGGCAGGCTTCAGCCACTGGATTCTTTTCTCGTCCTCCTGATCTCAGCAGATCATCCCCCGCAACCTGGCAGCCAGCTAATTTCTCTCATCCTTGCCAAAGGGGTCCTGCCGTCTCTGGACTCGCGTGCTCTCTTTCCTTTTCTCTCTCTCTCTCTCCTCCCCCCCCCTCCCTTTCTGTCTCTTCCTCTCTTCCACCCCCCCCCGCCCCCCGTCCCTGTGCCCACCCGCTGAAGCTTTATTACCCTTTACTTTGCTTTGCTTTCATCAGAACCTTCCAGTTCCATTCTGCCTCTTTTCTAAGCGGTCCCCAATCTCCAAGCTGGCCCCACTTTCAGCCCCTTCTGTCTCCTTTTTCTGCCCCAGCATTTTCATTCCAACAGTGCTTGCTGATTTGCAGCGATGCCAGCAAGGAATTGTTAGAACCATATACTGAGCCAGAGTATTGAGTACTGGGGGAGAAGGGTTCTTTCATCCTGGATATTGTGATCTTCCAGCTTCAGAATTTCTGAGCAGGCCCTTTCCTCAAGTGGGGAGTCAGGAGCAGACTTCGGCCATGGAGGTGGGCAAGATGGTAAGTGAACAGCTGCTTTTAATGCACGTTTCGAGGCACAGCATCCCTTTATCATGGGCTGGGTTTGTTCACTGAGCTCATTTTTAATCCCCTTTTTCTGAATTGAGATGTTGGAACACCCAGCATTTTGGATTGTTTCTCCCTTTAGTTCACATTTATTTTGTTTTGTCATCATCCTTCATTCCTGACCTTTTTAACCCCTGTTGCATGTGCTTATGCTTGAGGCAAACTCTAAAGACTGATATTGTTAGGGCATGCAAGGGAAGAAGGGGAGAGGCTCTAAGGGGAAGGCGCAGGAGTTTGCGCACAGGTCATCCAAGTATGTTTCAAGTGCCAGTTCAGTGTCAGTGCTATGTTCTGGGACCTTTAATCAAGCAAAATTCCTTTTCATTGGATTAATTTGAAGTTTTGGTTAATTAAACACCCTGAAATTTGGTTCCTGGTCTTTTAATAATTCAAGGAAAAAAACAATTTATTTTTTGCATTTTATTGTACAAGACATGGTGCTTTTTGCAATTGGATGTTGTTTTAAGATCAGCCCTCAAATGAGGGTCTCATTGTGTTTGAGTTTCTGCTGTTCCACCCAATTCAAGCAGAATACTAGGTGTTAGGATTCACCCTTGTCTGCCCATTTAACCTTGTTTTTCTCCTGTTGTCCAGTTCGCTTAATTCAGGTTGTTTGCTAGGGATTCAAGGTTCCATGTATGATACATCTGGGAGCTCTTTATGCACGTTCTGTGCTTTGCAGGGAGATTTCTGAGTATAATGGAAGAGTATTTGAGTATAATGGTTTCTGCCTTTTGTCCAGAGCAAAAGGAAGTGCTGGATGTAAAGTCTTTCTGCTATAAGGTGGATTTGGTGATTAATGAGCCAGCTGGCAGGTTTGATTAATACACTGACCTTTCATCTTGGAAAAGAAGGCTTTCATCTGAACAGTGAATGGGTCCCTCGGGAGTTGAAGTGGCAGGGACCAGTGTAGGTTGGGACCCAGATGCAGTGGCAGAGCCAAGTAGATAAAGGGGAAGCTTGCACAGTGTGCATTCTGTGCAGGTCTTGTTCTTGGTCATTTTCATTTTTAAGATGATAAAAATCTAAATAAAGATCTCTGAAAAAAGAAAGGGCTGGCTTCAGTATTTCTGGGGGCCAGGCTGCTGGCCTCTAGTATCCTAATGTGACCACCTCAGTAGTGTTGAAGCTCTTAAGTTACTGGCTTTTATCAATTCCCAGGTATTCTGCTAGATAGTGCTTGATATACCTTAAATCAACCAGGCATGGGATATGAATGCTCCTTGAATTTTTTCACATCCACTTAATGTATTGGGGACCCTTTTTCTTTTAGGAAGATATGACTCCTTTACTTCTCACTAGGAGTTTGGGGGCAGGAGTTTGACAAAAACTCCTGTAGCTAAATCAGTAGTCTACATGTCAGTGTACTGGATTAGCTGTCAAGTCTTTTCATCTGTGAGACCTTCTCAACCTGCAATATATCTGGATTCAGGCTTAGGATCAGCTTAATTCAGAAACATGCTGATAACCCAAATAAATGAGGGATGTTCGTTTTGAGAGGAAGACTGTGGTTGTTTGGTTGATATTTAAATAATGTATAGCAGCATTTGAAGGTATGGCATTATTCAAATACCAAGCATAGCTTGATTTGTATGTTCCCCTGGAAGGTATTTCATAAAGCATCAGGCAGACTATACAGTTGGTAAAAATGTATGACTTGTCATCCAAAGGGCAAGTTTCATCCTGAGTTCAGTGACCAGGAAGGACTGAAATATCAGTTCCTTTCTCAGCAGTATTTTCTTTTGACGTCTCTTTTCTCCTTTGGAAATGGGATTCTTTTGTACAGAGATGTTAAGGAGTTTCCAGTCCCACTCTTTTTCAGTAGTTCACACCCCCAACCTGGGAGACAGAGACAGAATAACTAGCTCCCGTTGTGTCCTGCAAGCACCAAGAATGCCCAAATGCTTGCTTTTGTTCAGTAGAAGCAGACTCCAGCTGCTGGTGTGATAAAGTACTGGGAATGCTTTGAAAGCTGAGGGAGGGTCTTTATAAGCACTGAGCCTAGAAAATGAAGGGGACCAGTACCCTTCCTTCCTGCAAACATAGATGAAGTGTAGAAATGTAGATATAAGGCTCTTAGTTTATGAAATCTCCACATAAAATAAGGAACCTGGCTAATGTGCCTGGATAAAGCATCTGGCCACACTGCTGAACTAGCTCTGCAACATGGGGCACCAGCATAACTGATTGGATGCTAGTGATGTCATACCCACATCAATTATTAAATAATAAGACCAGTGAGTGCTTTTCTGGGGCAACAGCTGCTATAAAGAAGTGCACTAATGGCTCAGGATGCACTGCCTTGGAATGTCCTGGCTTGTGATCATCAGAAATAAGTGACTGGTCCTTGCTTTGTCTTTTCTGACTTGTTTCAGAGGTTGCAGCGTTCCTTTGTATGTTTAAAGCTGTGGTGGGTAAGTGCAATACTAGTGATATTCAGTGCTGTGCAAACATTAAGAAGTGGGACTTTGCACACCACTGTAAATGTAATATTCACTTATCCCATTTGACAGGTAAAGAACTGAGATATAGATGTTGGCTGATTTTTCTGGGTGGAGCACCCAACTCTGTGTGGTTTTGTCTTTCTTTCACCTATGCCCCCTCTTAGCCTCCTTTTTTAAGTCTGGGACCCATGAAATGTGTGGCCATGTCCTTTCTGCTACTTCTTGTGATGTTACCCCAATAGAAGGATGACATTTGATACACAGGAATACTTTTGACAACTCAAAAGATCTAGGATTTGGAAAGGGGGTCCTGCTCAAAATTAAGCAATAATATATATAAACCTAGTATTTTTTTCTTTTCACTGGGAGGTGAATTCCCCTTCCATTTCAAAGACATCATGGAAGACTCCAACAAGAGAAATATGACCAGATCTTGAAACTGCCATCCCTATCCAGCAGACCTCTTTCCTTCATCAAATTTCCAGATCTCCTTTTGTGTGCTGGTACTGCAATCGGATCACCAAGTTACTTGGTTTGTAGGTTGTTAGCCAGTTCACTTCTCCAGAGATTTGTTTTGGCCCAACAAATCTTGTTTTGAAAAGATGTTTAAGACAAGCTGTAGAAATGCAATAATGTTACTTGTGGGAACTCAGTTTTATTCTGGATGTCATTTTATTTCTGGGATGTTGCTGGTCACCAGAAGACTGTCTAGTGGAGCTAGTAGCTTCCTATGTTCCTGTAGTAAGTAGCCACTCTTCCTGTAGCTATGAGGGAAAGGTTTTGAAGGGTTGTCACATACTGATTCATCCATACCACTGCTGCTGTGCTTTATGCAAAGAAGGCACATTGGCCCCTTAAAGTTCTCTTACCCCCCCTTGTGCAATCTCCCCTAGTCTCTATTACAGACTCTCAGCTGGCATCTCTAATGACTGTTTCTTCAACTTGAAGCATCAGTTAAATTTGAGTCTTTTAGGACTGAAAATTCTTAGACTGTCATTAATAAGGACATGGTTTTGTAAACTCCTCTTACATTTTTTTGCCTGGACAGTGCTTGGGGCCTGGAGCTGGAATACATGGTTGCAGGGCCTTGGCAGGGAGCAGGATGGAGCTACGCATGGCTCGTTCAGGAGGCAGTGGGAGGCTGGCTCCCCACCACTGTGTGCAAGGGAGACATGGGGGGCTCCCTGCCCTGCTGCCCTTCCCCCAGGGCCTCCACAGCCCAAACCATCCTATACAATTCCAGTGTGGGACCTGGCACAGCAGGGCAGGGCAGGGCAGAGAAGCTCAATGCTGGCGCTGTAAGCTGAGCACTGCCATGGCCATGCCCCCCCTGCCCACCTGGCAGCAGCTAGAGGCACAAGTCTGTGTCAGTGCTCCTGCTGCTGCTGAGCGGGCAGGGGGCACTTTGCCATGGTGGCACTTGGCTTGTGGCAGTGGCATCAAGCTTCCCTTCCCCATTTTGCCCTGCCATGCCAGGTCCCACCCACTGGGCTGCAGAGGCCCCAGGGAAGGGCAGGAAGGTGGAAAGCCTAAGTCCACAGCGGGTAGCCCGCACCCATCCCCCCCACCCCCCACAGGCTCCACTCTGGCCATGCTGCCAGTGAGGGAGGGGGAGCTGGGCTCCACTCTCCGCTCCACCACAACAGTCGTTGTCTCCCACGGGTAGCAGCTGAGGCTCAGGTGCTGCTGCAGTGGGCAGGGGCCTGCAGACCTGGGTCCCTGGCTCTGTGGCCCTGGCAGCTGGGCCCCCCCCCCGCCCCATCAGGGCAGAGGGTTGTGGGTGAGGAGTGAGAGACTAGCAGGGCCAAGGGCCTGTGGGTGGCAAGTGAGGGGCAGGTTCTGAACGGCTGTGGTTGGGGAGTGAGGGGCACCAGCAGGGGTGGAGGGGCTGCTGGTGGGGAGTGATGGATTTGGGGGTTTTTAATCAGAGAATTTGCAGTTTTTAAACAGAGAAAACCGGGATCCCTGCTGATAACAACCAGCCACTGCCTCAAGTAATCCTCCAGCTTTTACTATCACCACTCCCACTAGAATTCCCCCTTCTTACTGAGGTTGCTGGTAAATGCTCCTAAGCCAGATTTCCTTTAGCCTCTTCTACTTCTTCCTTGACTGTCAAAAGCAGCAGAGAGGTCAGTCATACTTTCTTTCTGAAAATTGTTTCCTCTCTCAGCCTTTTTGGAGCTTTTTCATCAATCAAGTCTTTTATTTCAACATGATGAACTGCAAGCCAACTTCACAGGGAGATAAGAAGTTTGGTTCCTCATACCTACAGATTTTGTGATACACTGTGTCTATAATTCCATATGGATTCCCCTCTCTAGGACAAACAGAGAGAGAGAGAAGGTTTTTTATACCCTTGTTCCTGAATTCCTCCAAGGAGGGAGAGACACGCTGTTAATAATTCCATGGCTCACAATGCAGACTTTATAGGTCTTACCTAGAGGTTTATAGGAGGAAGTGTACACACAGAAATCCTGTTACTGTTAAGTA